ATCGGGGTCTAGAGACCCCTCCTACAGCTTCACGTCCAACCGCTTGAGCAACTCGCTGATCGCTTCAGCGTGCGACTGCTGCGCGTATTGCAGCGCGGCGTTCGACGCTTGGGCCAGCACTTGGCCCTGCAGGAGGCTGGACGCCTCTGCGGCGAAGTCGGCGTCCTCGACCATGCTCAGCGTCTCGGTCGCGATAACGATCTGATCCTCGAGCAGCCGCTGCTCGTAGTCGCTGTAGCGCGCGTCCGCCGCCACCGTGGCCCGACCTATCAGCGTGCTGCGGTTGGCGTCGTCGATGATCTGCTGCGCGAGCAGTGAATCGCCATCGACGAGGTTAGCGGCGCCCCCGTTGGCAAGCTCGTAAAGCCCGCCCAGCGCCACGCCGGGCGCCAAGCGATTGAAGGAGTTGATCGTCGTCTCCGCGGATTGTTGCAGCGCTTGCCTCTGCAACTCGTCGGCCAAGGTCCCGGCCGACTCGACGATGGCGCCGCCGAGGTCGTTAAGGCCGCGCTGCACGAGTGACAGCCGTGATTCGCGTTCCCAGAACGCGAACTGCTCGTACTGATTGACTTTGAGCAACGCCTTCTTGTCGGTGATCTCGCCGCGGAGTTGCTCCGCCGCGATCAGCCCGGCCGGGTCGTCTTTGGCGTGGTTGATCCGCTTGCCGGTCGATAGACGCTCGAGCGACACCGACATCTGGTTCATGTTCCGCCGCCGCTGATGCATCAGCGAAGTCGAGAGACCGGCGCTAGGCGAGACCGAGAGCATCCGCGAACCGCCGGACCAAGGGAAGGAACACGCCGCATCGGAAGGTTACGTCGGCCAATCGCCCGAGCGACGTGCGTCGGCGACTGGTCGGTCCAATTGGCGCCGTCGGCGCGGTGTAGTCGCGACGGCTGGAGTGGCTATAGCGACGGCGCCGTCGGACGGTTGCGCTATTCCATCGAAACGCGACAGCCCGTAGCTTCATGAATCCTCTCTTGAGAAGCCCCGCCGCCCCGCCAATGGTCCGACAGAAGATACAACGCATCTTGTTCAGCCGCACCCTTCGGCACATCGCCGTGCTGGCGGCGCTGGCGGGCGTTTACGCGGCCGTCTGTGTTTGGCTCGAGCTGCTCATCGCTCCGCGGTTCAGCGGCCGAACTCCGAACTTCCACACGACCCTGTCGCTCGTGCTGGGTCTGCTCTTGGTCTTCCGCACCAACGCCGCGTACGCCCGCTGGTGGGAGGCTCGCATCCTCTGGGGCGGCCTCGTGAATGCGTCGCGCAACTTGGCGGTGAAGATCGTCACGATCCCCGCGACGGCGCCGAGAGAGGAGATCGAAGCGGCCGGTCAGCTCGTCCTCGTCTTCTCCTACGCCTTGCGTGATCGGCTCCGCAGTGTGGAATCCGATGACGTGCCTGCCGAGTTCAAGGACTTCGCCCACAAGCCCAGCGCTATCGTCAAGCGGCTCTACGAGCGATTCACCGCGTGGCGCCGCGAAGGCCACATCGACGGCATGGACCTGCGGGTCCTCGACGCCGAGGCGACGAAGCTCCTCGAGATCTGCGGCGCCTGCGAACGGATCCTCGGCACCCGCATGACGCGTTCGTACCGCCGGTTCGCGCGGCAGTGTATCGTGTTGTTCCTGTTGATCTTGCCGTGGGAGATGGCCGTGACTCTCGAATGGTGGGCGGCGCCGATGGTCGTGGTGATCGCGTACTTCATGATCGGGTTAGAAGTCGTCGCCGAGCACGTCGAAGAGCCCTTCGGCCACGACGAAGACGACCTCGACCTCGACGGCCTCTGCGCGACGATCCACCGCACGGCGGGAGAAGTCCTGCAATTGGAGGACGCGGCGTCGGCGTAGTCGGACGCGTGGCGTTTTTTTCGGCGCCCGCTGAGAGGAGAGGGGTTGGAGTGAGAGAGGCGCCGTTCGCGCCCGACGCCAACCCTCTGAAGAGAGCGACCTCATGAGCCGAACGGTAGCAACTCACCTCCCAATGTCCGTCTTCCTGTGCGTTTCCCTTGCCGCTCTCCATGGATCGGCCCACGGTCAGGGGATCGCACCGACTTATGACGAACTGGTCTACGGCGTCGTCGATTCTGGAGGTTCGGCGCGGTCATTGCACCTTGACCTCTGGCTCCCGCAAGGCGCGGCAGACGAAACGCCATTGGTGCTCTGGATCCATGGAGGCGGCTGGTCGGGCGGGTCGCATGACAACCCGCCGATCGCGCTGCCTCGGTTGCTCAACGAAGGTTTCGCCGTAGCGTCGGTTGAATACCGGCTCAGCGGCGAAGCGATCGCGCCGGCGCAGATTCACGACGTGAAGGGAGCGGTGCGGTTCTTACGCGCGAATGCAGCGGACTACAACCTTGACGCCGACGCCTTCGCGGCCTGGGGAAGCTCCGCCGGCGGTCACCTGACGGCCCTCCTGGCGACGAGCTCCGGCGTCGCCGCCGCGGAAGGCGATGTCGGAGGCAACCTCGAGTACTCTAGCAGCATTCAGGCTGCGGTGGACTACTATGGCCCCACCGATCTCTTGCAGATGAGCGCGGATGTTCGCACGCCGCCGGGAAGCGGAATCGACCACGACGCCCCCAATTCGCCAGAGTCGCGTTTGATTGGATTCGACGGACCGGGCGAAGGCATCGGCGTCCTCCGCGACAACCTGTTCAACCCTGCCACGCCCTTCCCCGAGAAGGCTTCGCTAGTGCGTTTGATGAATCCCATCGAGCACGTCACCGCTGACGACGCGCCGATCTTTATCGCCCATGGCGACCAGGACAGCAGCGTTCCAATCCTGCAGAGCGTGCGGCTCGACCAGGCGCTGAGAATTGCCGGAGTCGAGCACGAGTTCCATCGGGTTGTCGGAGAAGGTCACGGCGGACCGCTCTTCCATCCTTACACGCTCGCTGCGATCGACTTCCTCTCCGCCCAGTTGCAAACCGTTCCGGAACCCTCAGCGGGAGTTTTGATGGCGGTAGCCGTCCTCGTGACTTCGGCAACCAGGCGGATTGACGGCCAATTGCATTGAGGGCGCCGGTTTTGACGGCGCCGGAATACGACTGCGTGGCCTAGACTTGTGGCAATTGTCTGACCAATCGCCCCTGGAGCACCGATGGCCATTGCCAACAGCGCCGCCGAGCCCGTCGCCGCGCTGACGCCTGCGCAGCGTCACGAGCTCGAGGAAGCCGGGCGTCGCGCTAAGAAGGTCCGCCGGGCCGCCACGGTCGCCGCCTTCAATGGCTGGTCGATGGCGATCCTCGCCGTCTTGTCGGCGCCCTTCGCGTTCGGCAGCCTCGTTGGCCTGGTGATCGCGGCCGGTTTGGGCGCCCTCGCTTGGAACGAGTTGCGCGGCCGCGGCCGCTTGCTGCACTTCGACCCGCTGGCGCCCGCGCTGCTGGGTTGGAATCAACTAGGTCTGCTCGCGCTGGTGAGCGGCTACTGTGTGTGGCAGATCCTCACGACCTTGTTTGGCGGCAGCGCGATCGCTGCGGAGATCCAAGCGAACCCCGAATTACGCGAGCTGCTGGGCTCGGGCGAAGAGTTTGAGGCGTTTCTACGCCCGCTCGTTGTGATGTTCTATGGCTTGGTCATCGCGCTGAGCGTCGCGGCTCAGGGCGTCAACGCCTGGTACTACTTCAGCCGCCGCAAGCACGTCGAGGCGTACTTGCGAGAGACCCCCGAGTGGGTCGTCGAACTAAAGCGCGTCGCCGGCCGCGATTAGAGCTTCTTTGTAGGAGGCGTCTCCGACGCCGATTACGGCATCCATTCCGAAACGGCATGGTGCGCAAAATCGGCGTCGGAGACGCCTCCTACAAAGCTTAAGCAGCTGGCCGGTTGGCCGCTTTACGCTTGGGTAGATTGGGCTGTCCAGCGGGTTCGGAAAGCAGGTTGGGCTTGCCGTAGACCCTACGCTGATCGCCCTGGCTCTCCATCCACGCTTCGAGCTTGGCTTGCATCGCCGCGACACGGTCGGCGTGTTCGGCATCGTCGGCGAGGTTGGTCCGTTCGTGCGGGTCCTTCTCCACGTCGTAGAACTCGACGACCGGACGCTCCTGATAACGGCGGACCTTCTCGGCCGCGTCCTTGTCGCCGCGCTCGGCCTTGTTGACCCAGCTGCGCCAGTAGCCGCCGTCCTTCTCGACGAGCGTCACGTGCGATTGGAAGCGGAACTCGGGGTGGAGATTGAGAATCAGCTTGTAACGCTCGTCGCGCACGCTGCGCGACGGGTAGACATTGAAGTTGCCGTCGCCGCTGTGCGTGGTGAAGATCATGTCGCGATGGGTATCGGTCTCGCCCTTCAGCACGGGGAGGAACGACTCGCCGTCGAGCCGTTGCGCTGTCTCGTCTCCGGGCGCCTCGCCGCCGGCCGCTTCGATCAGCGTTGGCAGGATATCGACCCACGAGACCATCGCGTCGGTCCGTACGCCTTCGGCGATGCGGCCCTTCCACGACACGATCAGCGGCGTGCGGATGCCGTCGTCGTAGAGCGTCCACTTGCCGAACGGCCACTGCGCGCCGTGGTCGCTGGTGTGGACGAACAGCGTGTCGTCGCCCAGCTTCGCCAACGCCGTGTCGTAGACCGTGCCGAGGTCGTTGTCCATCCGGCGGACGGCTTGCAGGTACTTCGCACGGGCCTGGCGGGTCTTCGGCGTTTCGACGTGCCAGTCGGGGACCTGCGTGTCTTGCGGCTTGAACTCGGATTCCTTCGGCCACGGCACGTGCGGCCAGTTCGTGCCGACAAACAGGCAGAGCGGCTTGTCGCTGTCGCGGGCCTCGAGCCACTTCACTGCCTCGGCGACGCACTTGTCTTCGTGGTAGTTAAAGAACTCGGCGACATCGAAGCCGTACTCGAGCACCTGGTTGTAGTGGGCGACCTTGCCGAACGAAACGACCTCGTAGCCCAGCTCCTGGAAGTAAGCCGGCAGCCGCTTGATGTCCTTCCGCGGCCGCGAGTGGTTCGGCTCGGCGCCATTCCGCGCCGGCATCAGTCCTGTGAGCAACGCCGCGCGGCTCGGCGCACAGGCGGGCGACGCGACGAACGCCCGATCGAACGTCATCCCCGCCGCCGCCAGCCGCTCCATGTTCGGTGTGCTGATCTCCTTCGATCCGTAGACCGACGAATCGAGCAGCGTGTGGTCGTCCGAAAGGAACACCACGATCGGCGGCCGCGCGGGCTCCGCGGCAGAAGCCGCGACGGAGGCCGCGACGGAGGCGACGACGATCAAGTAAACTACCGCCAGCGACCGGAGCGTTATGTCCATGGCGGGGTGCAAGCGGAAAAGCATAGCTTCGAAGGAGACGGTTCGAGTGAGGGTGGAGAGAAGCGAAGGATTCACCCATTAAACCACAGGCGCTGGCTAAATCTGAGTCAAAACCCGCCTGCCTTAGCGAGATCTCTCAGCACGCGCGGCGCCTCGCCATCCCATCAAATAATAGAAGCCGCCGGCGCATCGCCGGCGGCTTCCGAAGTTTGGGGTTAGCTAACCGAACGGCCTTCGCTTACTTGCGACGCCGCATCCCGGTCAGCAGGCAACCGGCGGCGGCGAGCACGGCGCTCGTCGGCTCGGGGATCGCCTGGAAGTCGAACGTTGTTGCAAGTCCGCCGGGGATGTCGATGCTGACGTTGTCGAAGTAGCCGATCTGGCCCTGGTTGTAGGTGCCGACGCCCATCGCGAGGCTCACGACACGGGCGTTGGCGAAGTCCGTCGGGTCGGCCGTGGCGAAGGCGGTCGCCCATTCGGCGAGCGAACGGATCGGCGGGCCGCCAGCGCCGTTCGGCAGCTCAAAGCCGCCCGTCCAGAACCAACCGCCCGAGGGGTCGGCGCCGGCGCCGGTGTTGGCGTCGATGCTCACCGACTGCCAAGCGTCGGCGGGGGGGGCCTGCGAACCGCCGCCGGGCTGGTTCCAGTTCGGCTCGAAGACCAGTTGGCCGTAGTTGTCACCCGTGCCGCCCTGCGCCAGGATGCCGATCTTGAACGAAGGGGCCGCGAACGCGTTGCCGCCGGCGACGGTTTGCTTGTAGTAGTCGAAGCCGAAGAGCGCCGTGTTGAGCACGGTTGTCGCGTCGCCGTAGTCGGCGTAGGTCGCGACCTCGGCCTTGTCGTTGTTCGCCATGCCGGTGGTCAGCATCGCGGCGCCATTGGGGAGGGGCTGGTTCGACTCGAGGTCACCGCCCATGCCGGTGAGATCGACCACCGAGGCGGTCCCGTTGTCACGGATGTCGGCGGCGTACCACGCGCCGGCGACCGGCATGGCCACCGGGGATTCGAAGCCGTTGACGACAACCGTCGCCGCCGAAGCGCCAGCAGCAAGGACGACGTAACCCAACGCCGCCGCAACACCGGCGAGAAAACGCGAGACAGAAAGCTTCATTAGGTGCAACTCACAGCTGAGGGAGAAAGGATCGACAACCGCCAGAGGAAGGAAGCCCCGTCGAGGGTAGGCGGTCGCCCCAAACAACAATCTCCACGCTAATCGGGTAGCCCCCTCTGACAACGAAAAGGAGGGGGCCCAATCGAAGTTGTGTGTGAAGGTGTAGCGGTTGTCGCGGTCGTAGCGATTACGCGGGGCGAGAGCGAGTTATCCGCGCAGAGACCAAAGCCCCGGAGGGGCGAAAGCGCGTAGCCAGGGGCGCAAGCCCCTGGAACCGAGCGCCAAGAGTGAGAAGCCCCGGAGGGGCGGCAGCAACGCCGCGGGCCGAAGTGCTGTCTCCCCTCCGGGGCTTTGTTGATGGGCGGGCCCGATTCCCAGGGGCTCGCGCCCCTGGCTACGCCCTGCCGCCCCTGCTGGGGCTGATCGAATAAACTGCTTGGCTCCACTGGTTTACTGCGGTTACGATTTGGGAGTGAAATCACCCCCTCTTCAGCAGCATAGGATTGCCGATGAAAGACCGGCCCCTCGCATGTGTCCGCCTTCTACGGCTACTGGCCAGCGTAACACTATCGCTCGCAGCCGCTGTCACCTTCGGAGAGGTCAAGACTCTTAACCTTGACTTCACAAGTGAGGGCTTCTTATCCGGGACCGTGACGAGCCTCAACTCTCCGGGCGGCAACGTCTGGAACCAATTCGATCTCGCTTCCTTTGACAGTCCTGCGCTGGTGGACCAGTTTGGCGTTCAATTCGACTTGATCGGCGACCCTACGGGAACTGATCAGTGGATTCCGTTTCCCAACATCAGCGTGCAATCCGGCGATAGCAATCCTGCGAGTATCGCCGTTCGCGAACTAGCCAACACCTCTCCGGTCGATATGTCGATTATCTTCGAGGACGTGGGCGGAACCATCTTTTCGCAAAATTCAACGCCAGGTAGGAACGCCTTGCCATTCACGATTAATTTCCAAAATGGCGTTGATTCATTGGGATTGGGATTTATCGACTACCTAGGTCCCGATGTCACCGTCACCGGTAGTTTGCAATTCACAGGCATCTTTGGCGCTGGGGGATTGCGAACGATTGGCGTCTTAACCTTGCGTGGCCTTTCGCCATTTCCAACAACAATCGGCGATCCGCCTTTGCCGGGAGTCACCCTCGATATTGATCGATCGGCGTCGATCAAAATTATCGGCATGCAAGTCAGCGGGCAATTCGTTAACGCGCCGGAACCATCGGGTGTTTTGATCGCATTATTTGGCATCGCAGCGCTGCTGCCTTCGTCACGGAGCGTGCGGTAGAGCTACGACTCATAGCTGATTCCACTCCTGCAATAGAAAAAAGCCGCCGGCTTGCGCCGGCGGCTTCGTTGTTTTCTGATCCCTGTCACCTGACCCCTGATACCTCAGGCCGTCAGGCCCGGTCTCAATACATGTCGTCCATACCCGGAGCCGCCGCTCCGCCCTTGCCCTTCTTCGGGGCTTCGGCGATCAGCGCGTCGGACGTGAGCAGCAGGGTCGCGACGCTCGCGGCGTTTTGCAGCGCCGTGCGGGTCACCTTCACCGGGTCGATGACCCCCGTCTTCACGAGGTCCTCGTACTTGTCGGTCGCGGCGTTGTAGCCTTCGCCACCCTTCATGTCGGCGACCTTCTCGCAGACCACGCCACCGTCCTTGCCGGCGTTGGCGGCGATCGCCTTGAGGGGCGCCTGCGAAGCGCGGACGACGATCTGGTAGCCGACCTCTTGGTCGTGCGTCAGGCCCGTGGGCTTAACCTTCGCCGAGCAGCGGACCAGGGCGACGCCGCCGCCGGGGAGGATGCCCTCTTCGACGGCCGCACGCGTGGCGTGCAGGGCGTCTTCGACGCGGGCCTTCTTCTCCTTCAT